TGCAAGTATCCGCACCCATTAATTGCTGCAAGAGATGTCGTGGATGTCTAATATGTTCAGCATATCAAGTATAGGATTGACTTTTTTAAAATAAGATTTTATCCAAAACATTTTGCAGAGACATGGTTAGTGCATGGGAGAAGCATGAGTGTATGTTGACAGATGTTTTTTATATAAATAATAGCAACTAACTATGTTTAGCAAGTTATTGAAGTGCATTTATTTCAATTGGCTAACTTTTTAGGTTTTTTCCAGCATTTTTTAAACAAACCATGGGTTATAAATGATAACTTTCTATATCTAATTAAAACAATCTGTCATGTACACTCATGCAAAATAAGTACATAACTGTAAAAATGTGCTTTAGTAAATAAATGAGTAATTTATCCATGCACTTGACCTACTTTGTTTGTAATTTTTTCAGATTAAAATTAATGCAACAATAAAACAAGAAGATGTCTATTTATATAATTGCACAGGTCAATTCTTGGAGTAACCATCCCCCCAGGACACCCCTGGGAATTTGCCTAATAGACAGTTCACAGGGGTTGGGAATTTACCTGTCATATATACGTGCACAGGGGCCGGGTACGTGTACAGGGGCCGGGTATTGGGCCCGGGGATTTGACAAATGGTTTCACTTTTGCAAAACTTATTACCTGTGCCATGCGAATAAAGTTTTATAATATTCCATAGCAGCTTAATAGTATAATGTTATTAAATGACTATGCCTATGATATGCATTCATCGTCCCCGGGGTGGGGCATTTTCCACTCTCAGCTTGCCCAAGGGCCGTGCATTAGTCTCCTACTCAGGACTAGTTGTGTCCCGGCACACTTCTTCTATTAACTGTGCACTATTGTAACCAGTCAAATCAAACGCCCAGGTGTGTTCCCGGAGGGGGGGGGGGGTGTGATGGTTACTCCTGGAATTGACTTGTGCATAATATTTATTAAATTTCAATAAATTGACCACAATACAATAAAAATACAATAAAAACTTGTTTTATTGTTTTAAAACACGTGGAGCTCTCTGCTGGTTTGAAATGGGCTGTTATAACACTGAGTTGTCCATGATGAGGATTCCGTAGCTCGATTTGCAACAAAAACCCCAGGATCAGGCGATCAGCTCGTATGGGAATATGCACACGATCCAGTCGCGTCGGCCAAAGACAGAAAAAACTTTGAAAATCGCACAGATATAAATTCTACAAAAATATTGAAACAACTCCTAAGTCTTCTAAATAATATTTTAACACTTTAACAAAAATTCATTGAAAATATAATCTTTGATGGCACAAATTCTTTCCAAGGTATTAGACGCCATTTTAGTGAGCGTCGAGTTGACAATAGTCGCTTCAATGGCCAATATCTCGAAAACTGCCGGGGGATCACCGGGATCATTCCAGCAGATTTAAAGCTTATATATTTTTCTTGATGGCTGCCAAAAATGAGGAAAATCGAACCATGGGAATTCTAGATATTTCATTTTAAACATTGTAAACATATTTAGACTTGAGTCAACACGTCGCGGGGAGTCGTCTAACTTCAAACATCAAAATAACATTGAAAATAACATTTACCTTAGAGATTTTTGCAGATATCACCAGATCTTTAGCAGTAGTACTATTACACTTGAAATTTTGCAAGAAAATTTTAATATTAATGTTTTTTCTCGATTTATTTTCCGTCGAATACAAATTTTTCTGCCCAAATTCTGCAGAAAACATGATGGAAAATAGAGCGATTTCATTGGTCGAGAGCTCACGTGACAACTCGCTAATTGCTTGTCCGACCTCCTCTGTTTCGCAACCAAATTTTGCAATTTTACTAATTTCATTATTTTCTTTTAACCTGTTGTGTTTTATTCCCTTCTCTTTACTTAGATTAAAATTTAGTCTAACATGCAAGTTGTCCATTGAACCAGTTTTTAATGATAAACTTTAAATTTTTATTGATATGTCAAAATTCATAATTTTTAGATTGTATTGTAAATCCACTGTATTTTTCTACCTAAGCGGGATTATTATTAAAGGCCATGTAAAGTCCGTAATGTAAACAAACGCTTTGTTTACATTTTGAACTCAGTGCTACAGTTGTAAAATATGATTAGATATATATTAGACTGAATTTTTAACACTCTTCTGGTTCACTATGCTTGTAAATGAATACAGACTAGAGATTCAATTCAAGAAAGTTCGGAAGGTGCGAAATAATAACATTCCAATGGTCGGGTCCCGACCATTGGAATGTAGGCCTGCGCACGGGCATGTAGTAAAACACTGACTACCGGAACACCGGAACACCACCGGAACACCGGAACACCACCATTTTTTGGGGGGTTAGCCGTTTGGGGTTACGGTTAGGGTTGGGGGTTAGGGTTGGGGTTAGGGTTGGGGTTAGGGTTAGGGTTGGGGGTTAGGGTTGGGGTTAGGGTTAGGTGGTGTTCCGATGGTGTTCCGGCGGTGTTCCGGTGGTGTTCCGGTGTTCCGGTAGTCAGTGTTTTACTACATGCCCTGCGCACGTATGCGCAGAACGGACTCAGTTTAATTTATTAGCGATTCCCGGCAATGGCCAGCATTCTTTCGCGCTCGTTTCGACTTTTCCGCTTTACTCGTGGACAACCTTAATTGAAATAGCTGTATACGTATATACATGCCTATGTACATGCCTATATACGTATTTAAAGTTCTATATTATAAATCTCACTGAGATCATGGCCAGAAATGACGGACATTTGCATTTCTCAGGTTTCATGTTACCACGAGCATCCACGCAACAATGGCTGCGCAATGCCCTATGTTTATTATCAGGCGACCGGAGTATTTTCAATATAGCATGCTATATATAAATTTTAGAGTATTTGTTGAAATTGGTTCAAGAAGTAGTGGTCGTATAGTAACACATTAAAAAAAATGTTCCCATTACTTTGTATAGTCGCTCTGCTTTTTGCGAATATTAAAACATTTTACCTCACTTTACATAGGAATCTATGAAGGTTTCACGCTCAAACGGCAAAATCTCGTAATATATTCAATTATCGAAATTTGTTGAAATCATTTTATTTTGACGAATATTATAGCCTTGCTTTCCGCCGTTTATTATTGTGTTACACCCGATAAAAGCTCTGCTTTTTTGTTTTGAAATTTGAAAGCCGGTGCGTTAATTAATATGCATATCATATATATTACTTCGCGGTCAAAAAGTTATATTTCATTCGCTTTCTAAACTCGAAATATTGATTGCCTTGCTACATGTTTGGTACCCAAATACTCGTCAAAAGCTTCTCTTTTCATTTCAGTAGTTGTTGCTTAGCTACACGCTGCGCCTGGTACACTAAAGGCCACAACTTGAGTGCATACTTCATGCTTTGCTTTGTAAACAACACCCACGCGAATATTTAAAATTCCGGATGCTTTGACAGGGCGTAAAAGCATAATTAGGAATTCTTGTGGATAAACGGAAAAGCTGCTGACCGACTGGTACGCTTGCTGACCGACAGTAACGTACCTCTGCTGACCGACTGGTACGTACCTCTGCATGTGCACGCATATTTCGGCGTAACCTAAAAATGACGAGAATAGAATTAAAATAAATTTGGGAAAATGACTGTGTCAGTGTTGACTTCACGGCCGTTCGTTGCGGATGACGTCACACTTCCCTAACCCTGACCCTAACCTGACCCTAATCCTGACCCTGACCTTAACCCTGACTCTAACTCTAACCCTGATCCTAGGGACCCTACCCCTGACCTTGACACATAACGAACAGCAGTGAGTTAGTCAACTCGGACGAGTGGGAACGATTGAACTATATTTGTCCCACAAAACGTACTTATTTTTCCTGATCTTCAAAAACAGCGTTATTCCAAACATTACAACAACTAAGACTGCCAATGTGACGCCAACAGCAACAGCTATAGTCCTTGCGTTCGATGTTTCGGACTCCGACTCTACGAAGATAAAGTTTGATAAAAGAAATTGATCATAGTCATAGACTAAATCAGTTCAATCATATATGCTGTCTATACAGATTACAGTGAGGATCGAAAGAGCGATCTCGGGTCCAGAGAAACAATTTTTCACACATTACGTTATTGGGAGAATCAAGACATCATCATATCATCATGTCATTTGAGACATGTAACATAAATAGAGGATCTAGATGGGAGGGGCGGGGGGGGGGGGGAGAGTCTGAAAATCAGTAAACGGTAAAAATTTTGGTATTTTAACGGTAACAACTAGGGTACCTGCAAGGTAGGGATTGCTGCGGGCATTAAAAGCAAATAGAACTACAGTAAAAAGCACAAATTATATCAAGCACAGTGATTACTCGTGCTCGCAGCGACTAGTGAGCTGTGAATGGAACTGAGAAGAAGCAATATATATTGAAGTAGCAAAGACAAGGGGTTAAAAGGCAATCAGAGGTGACAGATATTAAACATGTGCGTCTCATTGACATACAGGTAAATTAAGATCAGATTTCATATCAAGTCCGTTTACTGCTTGGCGCATTTACCACATTATATATAGACTATATACACAGATTTATCACACTAAGAAACCAAAACTTCATAAAAATATAGAACTGACAGTGGCCAAAGTCCAAAACAAACGTAAGCGTAACATTAGACTTGAAAAAGCTTTAGAAATTCGATAAAAATTCGAAGACTCGAGCGAGTTTAAAATTTGTGTTCTGCGCATAGAAAGCGCAGTGTACTTTGTGGTTGCGACATAATGACGTAATGTCGAATTTTCTATTGTTTTTAATGCACTTTTGAGGAACAAAAAAATCGCCTGCCCCATAGACTAAGGAACATTTGAAAAGGCAAATTCAGCCAGATTGGGAGAACATTAAGAGGAGATTTTTTTGTATGTTACGTAACACGCGCTCAAAACTAATGTGTATAATATATTAATATTAAATACCACTTGACGTTATGACTAAATTCAAAATTTTTATTTTTCGATACGTTTCTCAATCGGCAAACAAACTTAAAAAGTATGTTTAGTGCTTTATCTGTAAAATAATGTTAAAATGAAGAGATTTTAGATGATACGCCAAAGAGAAAATGATGTCTGAAGTTCAGGAAGTTATAGTGCTTATAATGGCTGTAAATATGGCGTCAATTTTAAAAGGCCTACTCTGGGGCGGTAAATCGCCTTAAATCGCCTAAAATCGCCCAAAATCGCCTAAAATCGCGGGTTAAAATGGTCAAATTTCTCTTAAATCGCCTAAAATCGCTTTAAATCGCCTAAAATCGCTTAAAATCATGGGCATACCAGGGGGCGACCACCCAGCCAGAAACTGGGGGGGGGGGCGGTTGCCCCGTCCCCCACCCCCACCCAGTTTCAGGCTGGGTGGTCGCCCCCTGGCTTTGTTGGGCAAACAAAGCCAGCCGGGCAATATTCGCTTCACAGTCGGGCAATATTGGTTTATCATGGTTTATTTAATATTGGTTTATCTGTCAATTATGTGGGAAATGTGCTATCTAATAGGAATTTTTTGTAATCACTTCTCCCCCCCCCCAATCACTTCTTTCCAACCCCCTAATATTTTCCTTCCCGTACGCCCATGCTTAAAATCGCATTAACTCGCCAACATGCATTCTGTTTGATACATTCAGTCAATAATCTTCTCAAGTTTATCAATTGCTGCTATTTTGCTGGCAAATCATGTATAATCCAGGTGTTTTGCAATCAAAAGTAATGCAACATGGATAAATCAAATAAGTGGATTAGGCTGACAATATTTAGTCACTCAATAGGCTCCGGTCATTAATAAAAACAGAGCCTTTTTCTGCTTTATGCAGACTTTACAATAATTAGGCAATTCTGGGTTATGAAAGACCCATAGATTCCATTACACTACCAGCAACAAAATTGAGTTACTGGTTAATTTCATTATTTATTGGTGTAAAATGTGGAGGCTGGGCTACAATTTATATGGACTATGGTGGCTGGGCTACAAATTAATCTATAATATACATGGCTTCTCAAAGCCTAATTGCTGTTAGAACAACAGTAGGAGACTATGATAATGAGAGTCAATGAGTACGAGTATATAATAAGGTCATCCTGCAATTTATGCACTGTTGCATGTAGATCGAGCACTGCATTGTATGCCAATGGTTGTACTTCGACATGTGCATGGTTATACTCTAGCTCCTAGTTATAATTATATTGGCTATCATACGAAAAACATACGTGAGGTTTAATATGAGCAAGATTTGCAAGTTTTGCAACTCTCATCTATTAAATTTTCCAGACCTGTATATAAAATAAACAGTAAAACAATGATTACATCTTACATACCATACAATCTTTGTTGTTGCTTGTTTGCAGAACACTTGACAAATTATCAGGTAAAAGACTTAAAACCATGATGTAGTGCGCGGTGTGCCATTTGTTTAATATCATTTTGTTTAGTATTATTTTTTAAATAATTTAGAATTCCGACCATTTATATGCGATGTACTTCATGTAAATTAAACTTTACGGCATTACGCCGACAGTTTCCGAATGCGTGACAATACTGTTTCAAACTGTTTCTGGATATAGATATCAAACATAATTTATAAAACATGTTTGTTGAAACAGTTTAAATAAAATGCAAGCTAAATAAAGAAGTGTTAACAAGATACAAAACAAGACAATTTCACTTCCAAGGGTGACAAGGTAATTTATATGAATATAGCTTATTGTAACTGTCTAAATATATTGAATATTGTGCGTTTCTACTCCCTGTGGGCTGTGGTTCTTTTGGAAATCAAATATCTATTATATTTTGCAATTAATAATATTAAAGTTTAGCCTAAGACATGTGTAGTTTAGTTATAGGTTGGTATTTTGCAATTATGTACCGTACATGCCCCTTAAGTATATAGAGTATATTTATTAACTGTTTACAATATTTGTGGTATATAATGTAGCCATGAATGTATCACCACATGACCTCACAAGATGAACTCCAATGGCTTCTAAATAAGACAATGGATGAAAAGTTCACGAAGATTGGGCTTTATATATGATTCGGGTTAAATACAATAATTATTAACCTAGCTTTATATAAAATGTACGTACATGTTCTAATAATTGTATTTTGCTTCATACAATGCATATGTGTCAATGTGTGTGAAAACATTACATTATTCAGCTCACTCCCCTTTGGGGCTTTTCAGTCACCGCTTACATAAAGTATTAGGGTTACTTATGTTAGTCTAGACTATATATCTTTATAACAATGAGAATATGATATCACTTTTCTAACTGTGTTTATTCTAACCCACCCTGCCATATTTTGCCTTGTGGGAGGAAACCGGAGCAAAATATAAAATTTAATTACCTTGAAAACACAGGTCTAAATTGCAATCCCTAAAATTTAGAATTTTCTCTTAAATCGCCTTAAATCGCCTAAAATCGCATTAAATCGCAGTGCTTGAAAGTCCCAGTTTTTCCTTAAATCGCCTAAAATCGCCCAAAATCGCATTATATCGCAGCGATTTAAGGCGATTTACCGC